CCTGCCACCTATTGACAGCTCAGTGGCAGCTCAGCTCGGGCCGGGCATCGAACCACTGTTGCTCAGAGCTCAAACTCTTGAGTGAGCTCTTAACTAACTAAGCCACTCAGTCAGCCCTGTTTTAGCACATATTTAAATAAGCTCTTTAGTATCACCTGTATTTATGTGTATAATTTGATGAGTTTGACAAAATATACAGTTTTGTAACCACCACCACAATCATGATATAGAATATTTCCCACATTCCAAATATTTCCCTTGTGACTCCTTTTAGTCAATGCTCTCCCTAACCTCAGCCCCAGATAACTAGTGATCTGCTTTTTGTCTCTGGAGGGGTTTTTGTTTTGTTTTGTTTTGTTTTGTTTTGTTTTGTTTTGTTTTGTTTTGTTTTAGCTGAGCCATCCTGCCACCTGTTGACGGCTCAGCAGCAGCTCAGCTCGGGCCAGGACTCAAAACGCTGTTGTTCAGAGCTCCGCACTCTTGAGCGAGCTCTTAACCAACTGAGCCACTCGGCTGGCCCTAGTGGAGTTTTTTTTAGAATCAAATGGAATCAAACAAAAGACAATCACAAAGTATGTTATTATTTCACTTAGCATAATGCCTTTGAGATTCATGTATGCTATTACATTTATCAACAGTTGGTTCCTTTTTATTACTGAGTAGTATTTTATGGTATGGATGGAACTACCACAGGTTTTTCTTCTGTTTACCAGTTGATGGAAATTTGGGTTCTTTCCAGTTTGGTGATATGATGACTAAAGCTGCTGTAAACATTTGTGTGCAAGTCTTTGTGTAAACACATGTTTTAACTTCTGATGGGTAAATACCCAGGTGGGGTTGCTGGATGGTTTCTTTTTTATTATTATTAAAATTTATTGGGGTGACAATGGTCAACAAAACTACATAGGTTTTAAGTGTACAATTCTATAATGCATCATCTATATATTGCATTATGTGTTCTCCACCCAGAATGGTCTTTTAAATGTATGCTTAATTTGATGAGAAACTGTCAATTGGTTTTCCAAATTTGCTGAATAACAGTCTACATTCCCACCAGCAACATACGAGAATTGACGTTGTTCTACATCATTGCTAATGCTTGATATTGTTAGTCTTTGCAGCATACTTTGCAGCATAAGACATTTAATCTCTTCATGGCTCATTACGTGATTCAGCACACACTGAATAGCTGTCATGTGCCTGATCCTTACATAGGTGTTGGGACATCCTGGACGTTGTATTTTAAACAGACATTAGACAATTAATTCATCCAGTAACTTTGATAAATTCTATCATAGCTTTCCTGTATATTCTTTTGGGTTTCCTATGGAGGCAATCATATCAGGAAAACATGACTAGTAGATCATTCCCTTTTTCTTGAAATACTGTCTTTACTAGGCTGCTCATCTTTACTAGGTTGCTGCAGGAATCCATTCTCCTGATTGGCCTTCTCTCTCCCTGGCTACCACTTGGGGTGGTCTTCTTTGGTGGTTCTTCTTCATCTTCTTGACTTTTTACAGTTGAAGTGCTTTTCAGTATTCAGTCTTCGAAAAGCTTCTCTTTTCTAACTGTACTCACAGCTTTAATGACCACCACCTGATGGATTTATTTTAACTATCTATATTTTATAAAACTGCAAATTTACATCTCCATCCTAGACTGGTGCCCTGAACACTATACTTGAATATTTACTTGACTGCTGACTCAGTATCTCATTTTGGTTGGCAAACATCAATAATAATAATGATAACACCTACCAACACAAAGCCCACTAACACAAACTCTACCACCACCAACATTTATATGGTGCTTACAAAAAGCCAGGGACTATTCTAAGAGCTTTATATAAATTAACTATTTTTAAAAATTTAACTTAATAGGCATCCCAATCTTATCATCCAAAACCAAACCCCTTATTCTTCCACCAAAATTTGCTCTACCTATAGTCTTCCCTATTTCAATTAATAACATCTTCATCTATTTGGCTGCTAAGGCCCAAAGCTTGGAACTATTCTTTAGTCCTGCCTTTTTTTTTTTTTAACCCTCCTCTGAGCAAATACTATTGGCTCAACTTCAAAACAATCCCAAATTGCCACCAACTCTCATTATCTTTCTTGGTCTGGTCCTGTCCAAGACATCATCTCTAATGTAATTTCTTGCAATAGCCTAGTAACAGATCTCTCTCTTCCCCTCTTTTTCTCCTATAATTAATTCACAACATGGTAGTGAGAGTGATTCATTACACAAAAGTCAGATCATGAAACTCCTCTGCTCAAAATCCTCTTTGTCCATGTCCTCCCATATTGCTCAGAGTAAAACCCAAATTCCTTAGTGCACCTGGTAGGTCCCACCCAGTGACCTGTCTGTCCTCTAAGCCTCCCCCCGTTAACCCTCTGCCCTCGTTGTGTCCCATCCCTCCTGCCTCACTGCTGTTTCTACATCTCACCAGGCACAATCATATCTAAGTAGTTGTCCTTGACTTATTTACTTACCGGAGAGAGGAACACTGGATCCCATTTTACCTCACCTATCAAGTCACAGGGATGTATATGATTTTTTTTTTGCAAATTTGTTTTATTAGCTTCAGGTGTACAAAGCAATGTAATTGTTAGACATTTACACCCCTCACAAAGTGATAACCCCCCCTCCAATCTACTGCCCCTCTAACATTATATATAGCTGTTATAATACCATTGACTCTATTCCCTATGCTGTACTTTATATCCTGTGACTACATATATATTTAATAATAGTTGACATTCAGTATTATTCCACTTCACTTTCTGTTGTGCAGCGCAGTGGTCAGGCATCTACACATTCTATGACGTGATCCCCTGATATGTCCAGCACCCATCTGGCACCTTACGTGATCTGTACAACATTGTTGATTATATTCCCAATACTGTATTTCATATCTCCATGGCAATATTGTGGCTACCAGTTTATATTTTCTAATCCCTCACCTTTTCCCCCATCCCTACCCCCTCCTGATTAGCAAATCAGTTTTTTCTCTTATATCTCTAAATCTGTTTCTGTCTTGTTTGCTTGTTTATTCAGTTCTTTAGATTCCACATGTAAGTGAGATCATTTGTCTTTCTCAGTCTTATTTCACTTAGCATAATGTTCTCTAGGTCTATCCATATCGTTGCAAATGGTAAGATTTCATTCTTCTTTATGACTAATAGTCCATTGTGTAAATGTAGCACAGTTTCTTAATCCAGTCATCTACCGATGGACATTTTAGTTGTTTCCATGTCTTGGCTATTGCAAATAGCACTGCAATAGACATAGGGGTGCATATATTTTTTGAATTAGTGTTTTGTATTTCTTTGGATAAATACCCAGGAGTGGAATTGCTGGTTCAACAGGTAGTTCTATTTTTAGTTTTTTTTGAGGAAACTCCATACTGATTTCTATAGTGGCTGCCCCAGTTTTCAATCCCACCAGCAGTGCACGAGGGTTGCCTTTCCTCCACATCCTCATTAACACTTGTTGATTTATTGATGATGCCATTCTGACAGGTGTGAGGTGGTATCTCATTGTGTTTTTTATTTGCATTTCCCTGGTGATTAGTGATGTTTGAGCATCTTTTCATGTCTGTTGGCCATCTGTATGTCCTCTTTAATCCTGACCTGTAAATGAAAACTTCAAACCATCAGTATTCATGGAGTGCCCATAGTGCTGTTGTAAGCACCACTGGGCTACAAAACAAGTAGAAGACACAGTCTCGGCCTAGATAACTGGGTGCTTAGTGTCGCTTGCCCATATTTCTCAAAACAGCACAAAGCAAAATAATGATTTGAATAGAGGTTTAAATTAAACTCTATTGAATTCCTACAGTATACTATTTTTGCCTACCTCTTACACCTACCTGAATAAATGACTTACAAATTTTCCCCTTCAACTTTTCAACTGGCGATTTGTTTACTCAACAAATTATTTTACCAATGAACACTGTCATTTGGTATAATTGAACATTTCCCAGCACTTGAGAAGAATGTATAAAATCAGGCAAAATCCAATTGATTGTATGTATTTTGTATACTTTAAGACTTGTTTATATATATCTAGGACTACTGTTATTTTTTTGTTATTTAAACAAAAACTTTGCCATAATCCCTGTAAGCCTATCACCAGTAGAAAAAAAAATGTGTGATTATATTGAAGTGGCATATTAAAATACTTCAAAGTATATTATTGAAAGGAGCACATTATTTCACCTGCAGAAAAATTTTTTTAGCTTAAAGAAATATCAGTTTTGGAAGTAATTATTTTTTAATAAAATAGCCTTCTTTAAAGATAATATTTCCATGAGAAAATAGGGAAAAAAATATGAGAATTCTTTAAATTCAAAACGGGGCTAAATTGAGTTCAGCATTTTCTTGCCCAAAGCAGAGTTTCCTTTTATCTCTCAAAAATACCAACAGGAGGCGAAGGGCTGAGCTTCCTTGACAATTACACTCCAGCTCTCCCTCTGTAAGCTTTATTCCCAAATGTACTTGGGAACGAACTTCTGACTCCAGACAAATGACTGTTAGTTCAGTTCCTACCTGCCAATCACAATATTTGGGGTATCTGTGCCAGTCTCTGGGTCAGCCTGATGATAAGATTACAGGACCTGTTAGTTTAGTTCATTAGCAGAAATTCATTCTATCTAGACACTGCAAGCTGCGGTTTGTGTTGAGGGTGGGGGTGGGGAATGCCAGGGGCCCGCCTGGATGCGCTGGTTTTTCTTACTAGGAAGTGGTAAAGGAAAGCACTATTTCCCCTTTGGGATCCCTATTTCCCCCTTTCAGTTCCTCTGTTTGGGCCAGACAATAGAAGCCTCTAGGCCCCCTTCTCCTGGCACCCGGTCCCTGTCGCCCCTTCGTCCCCTCTTTCCCTCCCCACCCCTCACCCACCAGCTTTCCCAACTCCGGCTCCAGGCGGAGATTTGTCAGAACCGCTCGGTTGAGACTGATTATGATTGCAGCAGATGGGCTGGATTTGACAGCCCGATTCTAAGCAGCTTCTGATGGGGGGGGGGCGGAGGAACAGGGAGGGGGAGTCAGTGGGGGGCGGGAATCTATGGGCCGGAGCTGCCTAGTACAAGCGCACCAGCGCAGCCCGGCCAGGCGCGCCTGGGCAGCTGTTTAACGCGCGCCTCCAGGAGGAAAGTGGCACTCAGACCCGAGGGGCTCCAGGAACGCCAGTGAAACACCCCATTGCCGAGAGGGCGCGGAGACACCCAGAGGCAGGCGCAGGGGGACCAGTGGAACACAAAGCGGAAGAGAGCGAGGGAGCACGGTGTCCTGACTACCCCGAGCGGTGGGCTGGCTGTGGAGCGCGCGTGGCCCAGGCTACCGCCGCGGGCTCTGGGCATGGCAAGTTTGCCAACTCCGGGCTCTGCGGCCAGCGCCTGGCTGCCCCCGAAGTGACAGCACTGCAGCTTCTGCCCCCCGGGGGGCGGCGCCCACCCCGCCCCCGACCCACTGCAAAATGCTCCAACACAGGCCAGGTAAGGAGATGCCAGCCCGCTCCCGTCCCAGGCGCGTCCCCAGCACTATGCTGTCCCGACCTCTCCCGGTCCCTCTGCTCCCACTAGTCCCGGCTGACTCCCTGCTTCTGTGCCTCCCTCTGTGGTCTCTTGGGTCCATCTCGGCACTCTGCCGCCCTCCCTCACTGTCGCCCTTCTTTTCCTCCTTACCAGATCCCAACACCAGGGGGAGAAGTTTAGGTAGGAGGCGCGAGGTTATGGGCTCTCTTCCCACGCGTTCGCGCGCCTGGACACCCGAGGCTGGAAGGCGGGTGGGAACCAGGTGGGTTTGTGTGCTCTCTCATCCACCTTCCCGGGCCCACGCAGTCCCTGCCCCGCACAACACACACACACACACACACACACACACACACACACACGCGCGCGCGCACGCACGCACACACAACCCTTTCCACCTGTGGGTCGTTCCTTTTGTGCTGGAAGTAAAAAGGAAAACATGCACACGTGGAAACACAATTCCACGCGGCATCCTCCAGAAACTTCTGAATGGTGCGGGGGAGAGGGGTGGCAGGGAGTGAGCAGATCCGACCCTCCCAAGAGCAGGATCAGCGCCCATTCTGCCCCTTGGCCTTGGCTCCTTGTCCAGGTGCTAGCAGAGCGAGGTGCCCCCAGGGGAGCCTGGAGGCTGCTGTACTTGGCACGGGCATTGCTGTGCCACCAGACTCCCCCCAACCCCCAACCCCAGGGGCCAGCCTGGACCACTGCCTGGCCTGGCCCCAGCAGGGCGTGCCTGCCTCACCCCCCTCCTGTCCCCCGTAATCCACCCCCCGGCCAATCACCAGTGGGTCCCTAACCGTGTCTATCCAACGGCTCAGGTCCTCTAGCTCTGGCCGCCCCTCCCTTTCTGCAGCCGCCCCAGCTCGCCAGGAGCTATAAGTGTGTGCCCTGTTGCTACTGGCAACTGCCTGTGCAGAAAGCTCAGCCCCCAAAGCAGCTTAATGTTGATTGATGGGCAGAAATACGATATTTTCTGGAGCTTAGTGGGCGCTGGTGCAGAGGCCCTCCCTGCTGCTGGAGCCCTATTGAACGCCTGGGTAGCAGGCAGTCTTCCTTCCCTCCTAGGCCCCACCCTACCCCACCCCTTAGTAAAAAGGGGCCTTTAGGATATCCTCATCCCCTAGGGTTAAATTCCATGCCCGCTTTTGCTTTCCCGAGTAACCAACAGCCGCCCCAGAGTTTCCCGTCTTCTTCTCCAGGCTTCTGTTGAGTCAGATAGAAGAGGCCCTGTTTCTGGACATGACCGTCCTCTTTTCTATTTTTATCCCCCACCTCCTCACACACCCCTCCCTACACATAGGCACTTAAAACGGATCACCTCTTTAATGACCAGAGGTATTCCTGCAAACGCTCATGAAAGCATTTTCCCAAAAATAATTAATTTCATATCAATAACTCTTCCTCAGCTACTGCTCCACTCCCACTGTGCCTCTTCCCTCTCTCTTCCCACAAAGTCTTGTCATTTTCACCTCTAGCAAGACAGGGTCTGGGGAATACGGCGGCACTTCCACTGCTCAGTGCTGAGACAACCTTTACTGCTTCTGTGGTTTTTTATTTGCTTGTTTTTCATTTTAACCCCCTCCAACTCATTACCCCTTCCTTTTTCTGAGATGGCAGCTTCCTTCTTTAGACCATATGAACTACAATAATACGAATTTCCTGGGCTACTAGAAATTCCTGCCCCAACCTGTGCTTCTTCTCTCCCTCCCCAATACTGACTGAAAAGGGACACATTTCATCATCGGACAAGTTCTCTTCAGAAGAACTTTTTGTTCTGCAGCATTTTTTCTCAGCACCCCAGGCTTTTCGGCAGAGTATTTTCATGACCTAAATTGTCACACCTAGCTTTGTTTTGCCTGTTGACATTAATTTGGAAAACGATGTGATGTTTTAAAGTCATTCATTTATTCATCCAAACAAAACTTCCTTGAGAGGCTCTGCTGTGTCGGGTACCAATGTGGACCCTGGGTTGGGGATGAAACAAAGGCTAGGCCCAAATGGCTCTCAGCATTTTAAAACCCACATTACAGCTGGACTGTGGTTATTGCTGTGATGGCTAATATTATAACAGCACCCTACATGTGCCCGGGACTTTACAGTTTACAAAGGGCTTTCAGAGGCATTATCTCCTTTAATCCCAGCAGCAGGAATTTTAAATAGCGGGGATTCCACCCAAAGGCCCAGTAACGCTCACCAATCCTGCTTAACCCAAAAGAAAGAGAATCTTGCAAATCATCCCAACAGCTGATGGAGCTTTAAAATACAGAATAAACAATTCAGAAGAAGCTTTTGAAGCTTAGTTACAGGAATGTAGTTTGGAGAAGATGCGTGAAATGCATGTAACATGCACATTACCAGGAAGTCATCATGGGAAAACACTCCATCCTGAGACTGGTCCCCCAGTGAGCTGCTGGCTGCTGGAAGTAGACTTTCCAGGGTTCTGGACTGTTGCCTTATCCTAGGATATAAAACAAGACAAAATCATGAGCACGAAGTTGCTGGGAGACTAGCAAATTAAGCAAAATGAGTAGGCAGTGAAGTTACTTTCTTTAGCTACAAGGCATTCTTGAGATATCTGCAAGTTCCTAGTATATATTTACTTTAGAAATGGAGCAATTTTCCATACTTAGAGCATAAAAAATGAGTTTGTGTGCCTTGTGTGAGCCATATGAAGATGATCAAAGTTTTCATCATTTTTACTCATTACGTGGAAAACCAGGGGTATCTCAGGTGGATAAGTGGCAGTTTGTCTTTTTTATTATTTACAGTCATGCACCACTTAACGACAGGGATGTATGCTGAGAAACGTGTCGTTAGGTGATTTTGTCGTTGTGCGAACATCATAGAGTGTACTTACACAAAACTGATGGTATAGCTTACTACTGTAATTGTATGTTCTGTACTTTTATACAAGTAGCAGTGCAGTAGGTCTGTTTGCACCAGCATCTCCGCAAACACATGAGTAATGTGTTGAGCTGCAACGTTAGCTAACACATCACTAGGTGATTGGAATTTCTCAGCTGTTTTTTTTTTCCAGCTTCTTTATCATCTTATGGGACCACCATCCTATATGCAGTCTGTCATTGACAGCCATATTGGTATATGGCACATGACTTTATGGGGAGAATGTACAGAAAGTTTTCATGTAGCTTTGTTCATTTTCTCATTTTCAGCATGGAAGGTAACTGTTCCTCACTTCTCAGGTGTGAATATCAGCTATGACTTTCCTCCAAAAATGATTTCTAGAATGTCAGCTGATATTTATAAGATTTGCTTGGCATTTCAGACATCATGCTAATCCCCTAGTTTATCATTTGGAAAAGTTTTATTCAAAGAAGTTTGTTTTGCAAGCAAGGTGGTAGGTACCTCATAGGGAACTTATTATGGCCAGAGTTTGGCTGTGGGTGTGGCGAGGTCACAGATAAAGCAAGAAGGTAATCACAGGGTAAGATCTGTTATTAGGAAAAAATGGAGATACCCAAGGAAGTTTTTTTATTGTTTAGTACCATGAGGCTTTGTGGGAACTTTTAGATGTGGATTATATTTATTTATTTTTTATTTTTTTGTGGAGAATTTGTTACTCAAGCTTGTCATAATCATCCTTCGGTACCCACAGGGGATTAGTTCCAGAACTCCAGCGGATACCAATATCCGTGGATGTTTAAGTCCCTTATATAAAATGACATAATATTTGCATATAACCTATGCACATGCTCCCATATACTTTAAATCATCTCTAGATTTCTTATAATACCTAATACAATGAAAATGCTATGTAGATAGTTGTATTATTTAGGGAACAATGGCAAGAAAAGAAGTCTGCATCTATTCAGTACAGATACAACCATAGTAGGCCTAACTGCATAGTACTTAGCACATCATTGTCCCCAGTGCATATCAACAACAATGTAACTTTTTTCCCCCAATATTTTCTATTTGCGGTTGGTTAAATTTGCAGATATGGAAACTGCAACTATGGAGGGCTGACTGTACTCTGTATTTTGGTATTCCTGTGTATTATTTTCGTTCTTAGACATTATAGCATCTTATTTTAGAGCTGGACTTGTGTCTTTAGATTGGTTGTATGTCAATGAAAATCACATAATAAAAAAAATGTATATGTATATATTTGGGAAGTTAGGTTGGACCTGGTGGGCTCTCTTCTGACAGGGGACGTCATCAGGTCCTGCTGGATCCTGGAGGTTTTTGAATGAAGTGTAGAGAAGTGCATACTCTTCTAGTCCAAACCTTGTGCATACTCTTCTGATTTTTGTTTCAAATGAGAGACTTGAGTGGAGAAAAGTTGTGGGCACTGTGACGATGGCTTACATCACCCGGTTCAGGGTCATCAGCCTTCCCTATGACTATTGAAGTTAGGGCTCCATTATTTATGTATTCATTCAATAAATATTTGTT